ATTCTGATCTTTTTGATCTTTTTGCCCCCCCATCTCTCAAATTCCACTTTTTGAATCTTCCCTCTCTGTAGTGTTTCCCTTTTCTGCTGCTTTCCAGCATTGTATCGATTTTTCATCTTATTTTTCCCTTTCTTGGTTGCTTTTTTAAATTCTAAATTTTCCATTTTCTTTACCCCCTTGTTCTTTTCAGCTGTAATTTTTTGTCCATTAAAGATGGCTTCTCCTTCTTCATCCCAGTCCTCTTGTTCTTGTATTTCTTGATATGTAGAAATTGCCATTTCCAAAAAACAAAAGATAGATCCAAGAGAGCCCTTACCTTCTTGTCTCTCTCTTGCTGTAGCTTTTGAAATTCTATTTGTAATTCTTGCACAGATAATGCCATTTATTATTATTATTATTTATTTAATTGTTTTTTAAAAGAGCAACCCAAATGTTTTTAGTCCTTCAAAGAATAGTCCCCCCAAAATCCCAAAGTCAGAAAGTCACAAAACTATCCAAATCAGCACAAACTGTTCCGTTAACACTTTCTTCTCCTTCTTTCCCCCCCCCCTCCTGGGGTGAAATTCAATTAAACAATTTCAAAATGATTTTTTAGAAGCCTTATTGTCATTAATTTCTAATCTTAAAAACTTCAAGCAGTCTTCTTCAATAGAGTCTTAGAATAAGTTTTTTTCCTCTTCCTTCCCACTTATAGCAATAAGCTTTGATTTTTAATTCCAATGTTCCAAAATCTTTTATCCCCTTGGCTTTAATTTTTAGGTTTATTTACCTTCTTGCCCAAGCAGGATTTCCATATTTCCATCTACTATTCCGTAGGGAAGGAGAGTGAGAAAAAATAACTTTCCCTTTCACAGCTTTCTCGCCGCTTGCACAGTCTTTCTGGGAAACAATGTAGCAATAAAAAAGGCAAATCTCCAGGTTTTAAAAGCTCCTCTTTGTCCGGTTCAGCCAGAAAAAAAACCTTTCACCTTCTTCCTCCTGCACGATCTTATCCAGCTGCAGGCTTCTTTGTGGCAGCCATTATACTGACCGCCGCTCCACCGCCTTGGGAAAAGGGGGTTTTGCTGGCTGGGGAGGGGGTCTGCAACACTCCCAAACCCCTATCCGGTTCCCCCCTATCTTCAGCTGCCTCTATGGGTCAGCTATATCCTCCAAATCCAAACAGATCAGAGGCACCTCGGTGGCGAGTGCAGCAGGGATCGCGCAGAGTTGTGAATCCCTGCCGCTGCCGAAGCCTTGCAAACCAGAAGCCATTTTAATACTGTATCTTTGAGGGAATGCTAAAACTGTAATTGGGTGTGGTTTCTCAAACAGCCATAAGATGGAGCCAGAAACCTGGGTTGAGTCTCAGAAGAGAGTATGAGTGAGTCTCTGTTTCCTTCTGTTGGAAAGTATTGCCATTCCTCCTAATTGACTGTTATTCTTCGATTTGATGTAAGTCTGTTACTGAACTGTGTTTAATACTGGACTTTGTTATTGGATTATCCCTGGACTGAAAACTGACTGATTTAACTGTGAATGACTTGGGCTGTGTTTGAACTTTGCTTAAACGTTTAATGGAGGTAAAAACCTACATTTACTGTACAGTGTATCTGTGTGCTGTGTATTATTCAACATTACTCTCACTACGTCTCCCTTTATGCACTCATTCTCCTAACGGGGAATTACCTCAACAATAATGTCCTGCCAGAAATAATAAAAAAGAATGCCAGTTGGTGGGCTCTACTTTTAGCATCTCTGTTTACATTTATAGATAAAATGGGCTGTATGCCAAGAGATTGGGTATTAGCAATTATCATACCAATTTATAAAAAAGGTAATAGAAATGACCCAGGTAGTTATAGACCTATTAGCCTTCTGAGTGTTATTAGTAAATTGTATGCCAAACACCTAAACTATAACCTTCAGGATTGGCTAATTTCTGGGGGGATAATCAAAGATGAGCAAGCTGGTTTTAGAGAAGGAAGATCTACAATGGATCATATCTTGGTACTTCACCATCTGGTTCAAAAATACACAAATAAAAAAAAATCCTCTCTTTTCGTGGCCTTCCTTGATTTTAAGCAGGCCTTTGATTCAATATCCAGGAACACCCTCTGGGAAAAATGAAAATGCACTACCATCGATAAACGCCTCCTTTTCCTCATACAAAAATTGTATGCTAATTCCACCTTGAAAATCACTTTAACCCACCCAGTAAGGGTACAAAAAGGGGTACGGCAGGGTTGCATCCAATCCCTCTCCCTTTTTAACTTCTCTACATGAACCCTCTGATCAACCTCTTACGGAACCTTAATTTACATCCTCCTAACATAGCACAACGTAAAATTCCAATTCTCCTATATGCCGACGATGCTGCTATAATTTCACAAACTCCCATAGAAGTGAAGAGAGCAATTACGGCAACACTTGAATATGGTAGACAGAATAAGCTGGTCTGTAAAGTTTTAGTTTTTGCTAAAAGACCTAGACAATACTCCTGGAAAATAGAAGGACATAGTTTAGAACAGGTTAGGACATTCAGATACCTTGGGGTGGTTTTCCACTTGCAAGGGACATGGAAGGCACACCTGGATCACATATTGCAAGCAGCCTATAGTTCCTCAAATGCAATTAAACATTTTTTTACACCGGTGGAGGGTAATTAGTATCTGCGGCCTTAAAACTTTTTGAGGCCAAAGCATTGGCACAAATTCTATATGGGGCACGAACAGGAATCCTTGCAAAAAAGACTTGCTAGAACCTATACAAACCAAATTCCTGCAAGCCATCTTAGCTGCACCCAAAGGAACTCCAAATGCCCAGGTAAGAATCGAGACAGGCATGCCTCAAATTCAGGTAATAGCCTGGAAGATGATGATCATTCATTGGCTAAAAATGCTGACCCTGCTACTACTGACTGATAACTACCCCTCCCCCTGGAAACAGACAATAGACCACAAACTGGGCTCCTATGGGCTCTCACCAGTATTCTTAATGTCCATAGGCTTTGACCAAGCAAAGCAAGTAGTAATCAATACAATGAAGGACAAGGACTTCCAAGAGGAACTAAATAGGTTGGCTCACCACAGCAGGGACAGAATCAAACAGGGAGTGTGGAAATCGGCAAGATATCTAAATGATCTGATCTGCCCAAAACAAAGAACAGCTTTCTTCAGAGCCAGATTTAATATTCTCCCATCAGCACTCCTTCAAGGCAGGTATAAGAAAACACCAATAGCAGAACGGGTATGTATATATGGTAAAGGAGAAGTTGAAGATATCTCACATGTTTTATTGTACTGTAAGTTATAGAGTTTATAGGTCATTGTATATTCTCCCCTTACTAGAGAGATTGCCAGGGAGGGCAGACAATTTTTATGTAAACTTTCTCCTCCAGGATTCAAACCCAGCTATTACACATGCAGTGGCAAAATTCTATGTTGCTGCAATGTCTACTAGAAAAAAAAATGGTTACAGAATTATAGCTGTCAATTTGTGATAATTTTGGAGATAGAACAATCTTTGGAAAATGATATTTACACACATACTTATTGGCTCTCCACTCATATAAACCAGGGAGTGCCCGTAACTGTTTGAGAATTTGTGTTTTCTTAACAGAAGTTTTTATCCACTATTAATGTATTATAATGTGTCAGTATTTTTTTAAATATATATTGTAAATAGTGATGTCTATTGCTGGTCTAAGACTGTAATAAAGTTCTATTCTATTATATTCTATTCCTATACATTTCATCTTTTCAGCACAAAAATGGGGGATGCTAAGGTTGTGCATTGATTAAGGCTTAATCTTTCTGTTATTACTTATTCAGGGACTGCTAATGCAAATTGCCTCTTGCAAAGATGGCCATCCCCTAATGGCCATTACTTATGAATAAATTTTATTGATTGAGTAGGCAAAGTGTACCTGTATGTGGAAATGGATTGCTATCAGATTAAACTACAACCAAAGATTCCAAAATATATGAATTTATGCTGATTAAGGAATAATATAGATGTTCGTGATCAAGGTGAGGTACTTCTGCTTATAAACAAACAATGGACTATGTCAGGACCCTGCTTATGAACTATGCAGTGAATGTTATAATTTAATTGTAAATCTCAAGACATTCAGGAGGTTGCATTTGTGAAATATGATCCCTGTAGCTTATGTTTTGTTGATTTATTGTCCTGCATCAGCTGAAGAACTCACTTTTAATAGGTGATATAAACAGTTTCATGACATTTTTAATATTTTGAACAGAGAATAGCAAATTAACTTCATGAAAAAATTGTTTATCTATTTATACATGCAGATATTCTACGCATTGTGTGCATATACTTTATTCAGAAATTTATACTTGTGCTTAATATCCATATATTTTGTATATTTATTCATTCTATCCTCAGAACCATTCTTGCAGAAGTTCCTCTGTATAGTAATAAGGACTGTCATTATGCTCATCTAACATAAACATCATTAGTGATAAAGCCACTTGTTTCTCACTTTTTGTACCTGGTTACTAGTAATGGGTTTTTTTCTATACACAGGCTGCTTGGTCAATAAGCATTAAGAAATAATGTACCTATTCTGGCAACAAAGTGGGGATTTAAAGATCCACAGTATGTCTATTTGCCATGTTCTATATAGTAATTTATTAATCTTGGCTATGAATATCAGTGCTGGGCAGAAAAATAAAATAAATAACATTATTAACAATAATAACTTTAGAGAACAAGAAAAAACTCAGTAATTATTGTACTAACAATTTAAGACATATTATCTGGAAATACAGTTGATAGTAGTTTAGTCATACAGTTGAACAAGTATGTCTGAGTGTAGGAGCAAGGGATACTTCCCCATAGAGTTGCACAAATTATCTTTAAAAGGGGAAGAATGTTAGCAGTTAAAATAAGCCACTAAACATAAACTGGAAAAAAAGTTGGGTAACCTTTAAAAAACCACAGTTTATCATATAGTCTAGGAGGATATCAAAATTTAATGTTTGTGCCATCATTATATACATATAATGTTATGTTTAAATTGAGAGCTTGTCAAGTAAAACTGTCAATGTGGTTTCAAAGCCTAGTATTTCTTACTGTTAGAAACCTTTTATGTTTTCAATAATTCATTAATTAAATGGAAGAGAGTTGTGATTGCTTTGTCCTAATGTTGTCTTAACTGCAGAAACCACGAAGTTGTGGAAGGAAACTTCAAAACCAGCCACAATCTGAAATAAATATTACATGAATGGTAATTAGACACAAACATTAAAAAGTTACTAACATTTTTTAAAAAGAAGTAAATACACTAAATCTCACAATTTTATTTCTTCATGCAAAAAATACACTGTACTCTAACCATTGTCTTCACATCATTCTAAACATGGAATCCATTAGTCTAATTGTGAAATGATTAAAAATATGCTACTTTATTCCAACAGATAGCCCAGATGAGGAAATCAACTCCACAGAAAGGCCTGAAAGTACTCTTATTATGAAGACTGGTTATAAAAGAGAATCTTGTAAATCTGATTGTGCTATACCTCTCTTTTTTCTTCTATTCCAGTGAATTAAAGTACCAGCCTGAGCCACTTTCAGATATTATCTTGATACTCAGGACTTCAAAAATGTTTCAAGCCCTTTTGCTTAAGTAAGTTTTGCATAGCAAGGTCAACCACCTTATACTTACAGGTTTTCCACAGTGTTGTCATTCAAGTTAACTTTAGAAGAGTTTCTAAATTGGAAAGAAGACTCCCCTTTCGGATTCTGCCTATAATTTTTATCTAATTTGGTGTGACTTTATATGGATAAAGGGTAGAGATTTTAAAAAGATCAAAGTGAACCTCATTCATTTTCACTATTAATTCCTATGTACCATTTGTCTCCTACATGTCTTATTAGCGACATATGAAACCTTGCCTCAATCTTATGAATCATTAGCAACATATGAAACCTTGCCTCTCCTGAACGGTATTTCTCCTACCAAAGATCTCTGTTGACATTTCAGACTTGTCAGCAATTAGTGGTGTGCAAAAAACATTCATCCTGTTTCAGCAACCTGGAGGTCTGGAAACACCAGATAGTATCAGAAAGATGGTATTTATTCTTATTTGTGAAATATTACTTGTTTTCTAGGTATGATAGCTAATCTATTTTGGTTCAACAGATCTAGCACAGCTGTTTTGTCAATTTTTCTCCCTAGAGGATTAAAAAAAAATGCTTAGTTTGAGAACTGCATACTGTCATCATTTTTCTGGTTCTCTAGGTTGGAACATCTGAGTAAGGAAAACAGGAAAACAGCATGCAGAAGGTTTGGTCTCAGTAAAAGATACTGCTTTCAAATACTGTGAGGGAACAGACTTTTCTATCCATTGCCAAACAATAGATTAAAAAAACATTTTGGTACAGGAGGTGGTCTGATTGCTTGGATGAGAATAAATGGTCCCCCATGTTCTTTTCCATCATGGTGTTTTGTATAAATGAATAATGGAAATATTTTTTACTGGCGTTTCCTGCAGTGCTGCTCTTTTTTACTGGAGTTTCCTGCAGTATATCTAAATCAATCGTTAGAGTTAAGATACAGCAAAAGAAAACTGCTTCAAACTCATCCTATCTTTATGTAAGAAAAGAACTTCAGTCAAAACAGCATATATCTAAAATCTCTATGAGATGGTTGCAATTTATTACATCAAAAAGCCCCTCTGTAATTTGAGGTAAGTATGTATTATGGTTAACAAGAAATATTGTAGGAGAAAGAACTGCAATTATTTTGGAAAATGACAAGCACAGAATTATTCCAATTACTTGTGTTTGCCCATGTTCTCCTGATCCAAGTTATGTCCATTGCTTTTTCAGATAGACCTTGTTGCTGGCATTAACAATTTAAGGAAGGCTATGGTGGGATTTCTGGCTATAGCATAGTTTATAGGCATAATAAATAAATAAACAAACAAATAAAACAAAATCAAAGCTCTTGGGATTTTAAAAAATTCTCCTGGGCTCTAATGTTGTCTGATAGACCAGTGGTGGTCCGCAGAGAAATGTCACCCCCAGAGCAACCCCCAAAACAACTAATCCAGGCTGCGCGGGAACACAAGGCTGTGCAGCCCGCATGGCCAGCGGGAACCTTCCCCGCCCATTCACTCCTTACCTGGCAAATTTGCCTGCTAAGTTGCTATTTTTCCCTTTTTTCTCCTCAACCATCAGCTGTTCTGCTGTGCTGGAAGATTTAGATTAGCTAGAAATCAGGAAATCGTTGCATTTCTTGCTTTCTAGCTAGTCTTTAGATCTTTAGAACCTTCCTTAAGCTTCTTTAAGCTTCTATTATTCAGTGCAGACTCACTGCAAGGAAATTTTATGTGACAGACTCAGCTAGCTGATGGCAGACAGATAGATCTCTGAATTTTGTGAGCAACTCAATCTGCCTGCCTGTTTTGTCTGATTTTGGGTAAAAGTTGTTCTCTTTTTTATAAAAAAATCAATATTTACACACATGGTGTGTTGTGAGTTAATTTTGTGAGTTTGCTTGCTAGCAAATGAGTTTGCTTGCAAGCAAATTTTATGTGACAGACACAGATAGCCAATGGCAGAAAGATAGACCTCTGAATCTGTGATTCTGTGAGCAACTCAATCTGCCTGCCTGCTTTGCCTGCTCTTTTTTAAATTAAAAAAAAATCAATGTCTACATAAATATTTATAATATTTACATACAAGCCATGTCCAGCCAGTCACATGACTACCAAGCCACACCCACAAATTAGGCCCCACCCAAGAACCAGTTGTTAAGAAATTTGAATCCCATCCCTGCCTCTGTGTGTTTGTGTGTCTGTGTGTGTGAAAAAGAGTGGGGGAGGGAGAGAGGCTAGATCAGATCTCTCTCTCTCTCTCTCTCCAACATCAGCAAACCACCAAAATTCATATTAGTGGTCCCCGGGATTTAAAATTATGAGTTTGGTCGTCCCTGAGGTCCAAAAGGTTGGTTATCCCTGTGATAGACTATAGCCTAATAAAGAAGTTATAGCCTAATAAAGAAGTTTGAAACATTGCACAGTGTAATTCCTGTTCTATGGCAAAATACCTCTTGCTTTACAGAATAGGCCAAATCCATTCTGTGGCCAACAAATAATTTAAGACTTATTGTGAATGGCTGTTGAATATGCTGTCTTCAACCAATCATTTAGGAGAAAAATATTTTTAAAAATTGGAACTCCATCTTATTTCTTAGATTTAGTTCTAAAATAAAAAAAATGAAGGAAAGGGAGTAATAAAGAGAAGTTGGGATAAGATATGAAGTTGAATAGATAAGGTAAATATATATATCAAATTGTGTTTATATGGAAATGTGATAATTTGGAATAATTCTGTCTTTAAATAAGATGTTGTATTGGTTCTTTCAGAAAAAGATTTTTTACATCATTATATTTTATGTTTTGTTTGTTTGTATATTGTTTTGTAAAATTAATAAAATTTGTTTTAAAAAATGATAAACAGTGCAATAAAATTCAACCCGTACATGTAAGGGTTAAAAGATGTGGAAACAATTCATAGAACCACATATTAATTATACCTTAATATTCTTCCCTCACATTAATATATTGAGATAAAACAATTATGATTCTTTTGGACAGCATAAGATATGAAATCAAACCACACATTTGAGAAAGCTTTAACTCTAACTTGACCAGAGCATAGCTGAAAAATGTAGGTCAGTTTCTCAGCTATTGTGATATGCCAAACATTTTGGTATCAAAGGACCAACATCACAGATTTATCTTCCTAATGTTTAGCTATGGACATTCTGGTTGCACTCAACAAAAATACCACTACTTAAAAAAAGTATTAGTGTTAGACCCTGAAAATATATTTATCAAATTGTAGACAATCATTAATTCTTTGATTTTTAGTTCTATCAATAACCCAAAATACCTCAGATTAGAAGAAAAATTCAGACATGGTCACTACAAGTGAAATATAAGTTCCATTTTCTTCACAACCATTCCAAAGAGCTTTTCCTGTTCATGCATGTTATTTTAAAAGTAATCATATATCATCCATTGAATAGTTTAAGATAATTTTCTTTAATTTGGGCTGAGGATGATGACAGCCATTTCCATTTTTTATTCTACTCTTGAAATGTTTTCTCCAAGTCATTATCCAATGAATTAGAGCTGAAGTATTTTTTCTGTGACATTATATAATTTAGAGATAACTCTTTTAGTTTAATCTGAGTCAATAACTCTGCTTCAAAGTTTGTCTATAATCTGTTGTTTGAGCATTTATTTCTGAAGAAGAAAGGATCTAAAATAACTAAAATAGCTGAGCACATTCTGAAGAAGTTAACTAATCGCTTCTAATTTAATAGATCAAAGTCTTCAGTCTGTATAATTTCTGAATGAACTTAGTTTATAACTTGTAGTAATATACAGAGAATTTAGGACATCTAAAAATAGAAGTAGAAGTAACAAAAGGTTATTACTGTTTTTACCCATTTCACTCAGTTTAAAATTAGAATTCCAAAAAAAGATTAACAGATAACAACAGATAATCAGAGTTGGAAGGGGCCTTGGACTTCCAGTTGTACTCCTGTCGAGTTGGACCAGAATCCACAATCATGCAAGTTTTTGCTCTGCGCTTGCTCATTGGAGGGTCCCAATTGGGACCTGTACCACCCTGGAGGGATGGTGAAGAAAGAGGGATCCACTGGAGGGTTGAGGGGAGCCGCATCTCCCCTCCTTGACATACTCATCCAAAGATGAGTAGCAGCAGTGGACTAAAATGGCCACCATGAAGATGGGAGGCAGTCCGGGAAAATAAGACTGTGCTGGAGTGGTGGAGCTGTGAACAGTGTGGGAACCAGATGAAATACATGGATAGTAAAAGGTACCCCAAAATTAAAGAACTTTTTATGAAAAATTGTAGAAGTGGAGACCAGAGAAAGAGAGAAGAAAATTGGAAATTTGTGAAATTGGATTTGGACTTTGAAAATAATTAATTTAGAGGTAGAAAATCTAGAGGAAAATATTTGACTATAAAAGACTTGGAAATTGAACTGGATAGTTATTTGTATTTTGGCACTAAATAGGCATTAATTAAATGCTGGAATTGAACATGTTAAAAAGAAATAATAGCTAATAATTGGAATTATCGAAATTAATTAAAGTTTTAAAAAAGGGAAAAGGGAAAATAAAGGGTGGAACCTGGAAACAGAATTGAGAGTGCCACCTAATGG